GCTGGTAGGACAAAGTCTGTTACTTAATTTTTTTATTGCATTCCGGAAATTAAGTAAACACCTTCTATCTAATGTAGAAAGCTTTTCTACAGGTGCCATGTAAAGAAGAGATTTAGCATATTGGATTTTATTAACTTGAGTAGCATTTTGATTTTGATCGTTAAGACAATTATTAGCATCCTTCGAAGTATTCTTCTCATGTATAATTGATGTATTTTGAGCTGGAGTTTTATAACTATATCGATCTCGTATTCGAGCTAGACGTGTTTCATGTTCATCGACAGTTTCTACTGCTAGCTTTTGACGCTTTCGTTGACGATCACGAGCAAGGCGTTCCTCACGCTCCTCAGGTGTATTATTTTCTCTCATTCTTCGCATTCGAAGTGCATTAGGATTAAGAGAATTTAGTGAATTGTTCATATTTTTGCTTTGGATAATTTTAAGTTAAGTAAAATAATTGAACGCGACAATTTTTTATTTTAAACTTTTTTTAAACTTTTATATATTACGTTCTAAATAATCTTGAAAATAAATTTTATTACGTATGTATAATTGTATTATAGACAGGCTTGCATCAAGACTAATATAAAATTCATTGGATTATTTACTATACAATCGATTTTTTTTTAAATTCTGCAATAATTGTTTTTTGAAGGAAAAAATAGTTCAGAAGGATTGATTAATTCGGAAGAATCGACTTGTAGTAGTATATACTTGTCATTTGTGAATTTTTATTAATTACCAAATCCTTTATGCGAAGAATACTTGATGGATGAATTTAATTTTACTGATTATTTCTTTAAGCAGTTAGTGATATAGTTTTTACGAATTTAAACTTTTTACGTGTATAACATACGTACTGTAACTCGAAATTTTCTATTATAACAACGTGTAAAATAACAATGGAGGTGACTGTATCGAATTAGTAAGTGATTGTATCGAGGTAGAAAGTGATTATATCGAGTGCACGGAAAAGATGTAAAATTCACCCCCCCTAGTACCTAGAAACTGAATGCCCTCCGCTTCGCTCCGGACAACAATAAGTAAAGGGTAGACGTATTTAGCAAGTAAAGTGTGGGATATATATTTTTTATGCTATGACGCGATATATAAAGTTGGGGCTTAGTGGAGTCATCGTCTTTCAGTTTCCCTGTTCACAAAAAAGCTTCACTTTATATTTTTCTATCCTGTCATTCATTCGAGTGGGACATGTATAAGGAGAGAAGATGGCATATACTTGGTCGGTAGTATACATGATCGTGATCCATTTTATAAATCGACATCTTGGAATTAGTAAATGCAAGTTTGTAATCTCAGTTCGCGATTTCCTTTCTTAATAAAACCGTAAAAATTCAAGATATTACATGTACAAAAAGAAAATATCCCATAGGTTTATTTGCGCAAAAATAAATTGCATGAGCGTACACAGAAATAAAATTCTCAGGTTTAACGGATTTTCCAGAACATTCCATAAATATAGAGCGTTAATTAATTGTTATTCTGTTTTCTCAATACTAACTGCTGAATTCTGTATAGATCAATATTAAAGTTATTGGCATTTATCGTATTAGGAACCAACTCAACATATCCAGACACAACCAGAACTCCCGCAATGATCGGTGGGTTCCAGAATACATCTGACACTGGAATGCTAACTTGGTAGGCAGGAAGGTTTGGTGCATTGCACCCAGTTGCAACCTGAGATCCTTTCTGAAGAGTCCCAAAATCCCACACTCGGAATCCTCTCACTCCTTGGCGCCAGAGCTTAGCCTATACTCAAAAAAAACTTTTAAGTACAGAACCGCAGAATAATGAAACATGTGAGCAAGACATACCGTCATCGACCGATGATATTGTCCTTGTGAGTTCTTTATAGACCCTTTACCGTGAATCTTAATCCCAAACACGCATCGCACGTATTGCTGACTCATCCAACGCTGGCACTTAATCTCCCAGGCATTAGTGTCTTGATACAAAGCCACCTCACATACTATCCTTGCATGTGGTTTTCCCTGTGAAATATATTAAAACGAATACAATAAAAATTATACATCAAATCAAAAAACTTACGATTTTATCACTAGGAGGAGGTCCGGGATATGGATGGGTAGGTTTCGGAATATAAGCCTCACTTGGATACACAGCAATGTCTGGTGCAATCTTTTCTCCATTTCCAGATGGACAATAGTGAACTATAGGAGGAATGCAAAAATATTAGAAAATAAATTACAAGCTAAAGATCAGACTGGAAGGAATTTACCTACATGGTTGACCTACAACATTTATTGGAGGATCAAAGATAGCACCACCGTTAGGAATTCTAAAATAATCTTGTAGTAGCGAAACAACAAATACATGTTCTCCATCAGCCATATCAATAATAAATGCGTCGCCGTTATCTCTTAATTGGAATTTGTATCCAGATGATTCACAACGGTCAAGAAAAGCATTATAGTGTTCAACTGATACGTTTGAACCAATTTGAAGAGTCAACCTGCAATAAACTCGGGTTAATATTTAAAAAAATAGCGTGCGTGATGTTTACTCACTGGTTTCCATTAAATGGTTCGTTCGGTAATTGGAGAACCTTCAAGCGTGCTTTAGATTGGAAAGACATTCAGAATTAAACTCGAATGACGTAAAAATTTCGTCATGCAATTACATCTCGGAAACGTGATTGTCGATCAATAATTACAAAACCTCTGATGCTAATAAACGAATTCGATAATACTGTAAGACCGGAAATTAACCAAATCAGAAAAAGATTCCGACGATAAGTAAGAACTAAGTGATGCAAAAGAAGAGTCTTTGGATTATTTATGCAATTAGAAAGGTGAGTAAGTGGACGAAATGTACGTACAATAAGTCCACCAAAAAATATGAAAAATCCTCCGACCATAAAAATCACAGCCCCAATAATAATAGCGGTTATGATGATCCAAGATATGAAAAATATAATCAGGATGCTGGCGAAGGTGGCCACCTGATATATGAACCAACGAACAAAATGTTGGGGATTATGAGTTTCATTAACAAATTTATAAAAGTAATATGCAAGTTGGAATCGAAAAGAAAATTTTTTGTAGAAAACTGGTGATTTATATAAAATCAATCGTTATGTAGGCTAATATATCATTTTATGAAATGACGAAGTTGTCGAAAAAGCGGAACTGGAAATCTCGCACAAAATTCATACGCATAGTGTGATTCATGATTTTTGAAATTAATTTTATCAGAAATTATTTATATTATAAAAATTTTAAATTATATTCTTGAAAATCTTTAGTTTAATATTATTTAATTAAACTTTATATTTAATATAAGTTAACAAATATTGGTAATATATTTTTGTATATATAAACATAATACTAAAAATGAATTTTAAATAAATAATAATTTAAAGATTGCTATTGCTTATTACACAATGAAAATTACTTGATTTATATAAAATTTTATAAACCACTTGTTTCTAACCTACAAAAAAAACACATTTAAATTATTCTTATATAATATTTTAAGAATTGTTTTGTAAATATTAAATTTTTTAAAAAATTTTTAATATAAAAATTGATATAAAAAGATTTGACAAAAAAAGTCATATTTTTTTTTATTATATAAAGTTTTTTTATTTTATATAAAAATCATAACTTAATTTTTTGGAGGGTTTTAAAAATTCTTGTTTAAAGTTTAACATAAAATAATTTAATAAAATTTAATTGTTTATAATAGTTTGAAAAAAATTTTTGATCTATTAATTTACAGTATAATAATCAAAATTATTATTGTTTATAAATTTCTGATGAATTAAATATATAAATAAATAATGGTTTTTTTAATTATTGTAGTATTTTCTTTGCAGATCTATAAATAGTAAGTAGTTTTTAAAAATATATTGCAATATGAGTATAAGTTATCGATATATATTTGTAAGTATATTATATAAAAACAAGATTTCATAAGAAAATATTTTGAAACAAAAGTTGTATCATTTGAATTGATATTGTATTATCATAGTATATTAAAAAAATAATAGATTTGATTTGAATGTAATTTTTGTTTATTAATTTGTTTGAAATAAAACCTAATTAATAATAGTAAATATTTTGTGAAATTGAAAGTATATAATGTATTATAAAATTATTAATAATGTAAATTGTAGATTAGTATTTGTTAATTGTGTTATTTAAAAATTTTTTTTTGCTAGATTTGTAAAAAATACATAAGATTTAAAAGATTTTAATTATATTACAAATGTTTAAAAATAGATAATATGTAAAAAAAATTGTTGAATTTGAAGTAACTAAAAAAAATAATAAAATTATTTGTTTTACTAATTAAAAAGATTAATATTAGAATTTGTAGAGAGAATAATTAATTCAAATTATATTATTTGACTGTCAAATTACAATAAATTAAATTCAATTTTATTAATAAAAATTGATACTAAAGTTTGCTGTTTAATCTAATTTATGTTATTCAATATTTAAATATATATAACAATTTAACAATAAAATATATAAAATTTAACAATAAATTATATTATATTTGATTATAAATAATATTTGAAAATAAAAAAAAACATAATTATAAAAAATTTATAAATAAAAAATATTTTATAATAAAAATTTACAAAATTTTGCATAAAATTATTTGCAATTAAAAACATTTAGTAATAAAAAATTTACAATCAAATTACAAAATTTGATAATAAAAAAATAAAATATTGAACAATAAAAATTTTAAGATTTGAAAATTTAATAAATTTTTATTCAATTTAATTAGATATTTACAAAAATTTAATTTATTGTTATAATTTTGCAAATTGTATATTTTCAAAAAAAAATTATATTTATGTAATAATATTTGGCAAATTGTATTTGATACTTAATAAATAATTTAAATACATTAATACAAAATGTATATATTAATACTTTTGCAAAGCACTTTTATAATGGGTATCAAAAATTCAAGCAACACATAATGTTCAACTTACTTTACATCCATACATCATGGAGTTTATATAGAATGATGAAAAAGACAAGTAGGTATTGATCTTATATTCTGAATTATATTTGAAATGAACTTGATAAATGTACGTGCAAATGAAAAATATCTACCTAAAATTTTAAAAAGTTTAAACATGTTCTTAAGGAGGAATGAGAAAATATTCAACACAAAACATATAAAAGCCTTGCAATTAGTATGAAACGTAGAATAAATTTCATTATTAAATCTAAAGGTTATTATACATAATATTAATTTTAGATTTAAATAATGTTTTTTTGGATATATTTACTATATTTTTATTAAACTTGGTGATTTTGAATTATAACAAAACCATAGTTTTAAAATATATATTATTAGAAATAAATAAATTAGAAATAATCTTAACTTATGGCCAGGCACCGCATGATTAAAAA